TCGGGTCGAAATTTTGAGTTTCGATATCTCAGCTCTGGAAGGGTCTAGAGACTCAATTTTTGCACTCAGGTCTAAGTCTCATGGCCCTCTATCATAATCCAGAGTTTTGAGAAGATTGGAGAAACTTAATTTTTCGACCCCAAAAAAAAACGACAGTGGTACCCCTTTCGTTTTTTTTTTCGGGTCGAAATTTTGAGTTTCGATATCTCAGCTCAGGAAGGGTCTAGAGACTCAATTTTTGCACTCAGGTCTAAGTCTCATGGCCCTCTATCATAATCCAGAGTTTTGAGAAGATTGGAGAAACTTAATTTTTCGACCCCAAAAAAAACGACAGTGGTACCCCTTTCGTTTTTTTTTCGGGTCGAAATTTTGAGTTTCGATATCTCAGCTCTGGAAGGGTCTAGAGACTCAATTTTTGCACTCAGGTCTAAGTCTCATGGCCCTCTATCATAATCCAGAGTTTTGAGAAGATTGGAGAAACTTAATTTTTCGACCCCAAAAAAAAACGACAGTGGTACCCCTTTCGTTTTTTTTTCGGGTCGAAATTTTGAGTTTCGATATCTCAGCTCAGGAAGGGTCTAGAGACTCAATTTTTGCACTCAGGTCTAAGTCTCATGGCCCTCTATCATAATCCAGAGTTTTGAGAAGATTGGAGAAACTTAATTTTTCGACCCCAAAAAAAAAACGACAGTGGTACCCCTTTCGTTTTTTTTTCGGGTCGAAATTTTGAGTTTCGATATCTCAGCTCAGGAAGGGTCTAGAGACTCAATTTTTGCACTCAGGTCTAAGTCTCATGGCCCTCTATCATAATCCAGAGTTTTGAGAAGATTGGAGAAACTTAATTTTTCGACCCCAAAAAAAAAACGACAGTGGTACCCCTTTCGTTTTTTTTTCGGGTCGAAATTTTGAGTTTCGATATCTCAGCTCTGGAAGGGTCTAGAGACTCAATTTTTGCACTCAGGTCTAAGTCTCATGGCCCTCTATCATAATCCAGAGTTTTGAGAAGATTGGAGAAACTTAATTTTTCGACCCCAAAAAAAACGACAGTGGTACCCCTTTCGTTTTTTTTTCGGGTCGAAATTTTGAGTTTCGATATCTCAGCTCTGGAAGGGTCTAGAGACTCAATTTTTGCACTCAGGTCTAAGTCTCATGGCCCTCTATCATAATCCAGAGTTTTGAGAAGATTGGAGAAACTTAATTTTTCGACCCCAAAAAAAAACGACAGTGGTACCCTTTCGTTTTTTTTTCGGGTCGAAATTTTGAGTTTCGATATCTCAGCTCAGGAAGGGTCTAGAGACTCAATTTTTGCACTCAGGTCTAAGTCTCATGGCCCTCTATCATAATCCAGAGTTTTGAGAAGATTGGAGAAACTTAATTTTTCGACCCAAAAAAAACGACAGTGGTACCCCTTTCGTTTTTTTTTCGGGTCGAAATTTTGAGTTTCGATATCTCAGCTCTGGAAGGGTCTAGAGACTCAATTTTTGCACTCAGGTCTAAGTCTCATGGCCCTCTATCATAATCCAGAGTTTTGAGAAGATTGGAGAAACTTAATTTTTCGACCCAAAAAAAAAACGACAGTGGTACCCCTTTCGTTTTTTTTTCGGGTCGAAATTTTGAGTTTCGATATCTCAGCTCTGGAAGGGTCTAGAGACTCAATTTTTGCACTCAGGTCTAAGTCTCATGGCCCTCTATCATAATCCAGAGTTTTGAGAAGATTGGAGAAACTTAATTTTTCGACCCCAAAAAAAAACGACAGTGGTACCCCTTTCGTTTTTTTTTCGGGTCGAAATTTTGAGTTTCGATATCTCAGCTCAGGAAGGGTCTAGAGACTCAATTTTTGCACTCAGGTCTAAGTCTCATGGCCCTCTATCATAATCCAGAGTTTTGAGAAGATTGGAGAAACTTAATTTTTCGACCCCAAAAAAAACGACAGTGGTACCCCTTTCGTTTTTTTTTCGGGTCGAAATTTTGAGTTTCGATATCTCAGCTCTGGAAGGGTCTAGAGACTCAATTTTTGCACTCAGGTCTAAGTCTCATGGCCCTCTATCATAATCCAGAGTTTTGAGAAGATTGGAGAAACTTAATTTTTCGACCCCAAAAAAAAACGACAGTGGTACCCTTTCGTTTTTTTTTCGGGTCGAAATTTTGAGTTTCGATATCTCAGCTCTGGAAGGGTCTAGAGACTCAATTTTTGCACTCAGGTCTAAGTCTCATGGCCCTCTATCATAATCCAGAGTTTTGAGAAGATTGGAGAAACTTAATTTTTCGACCCCAAAAAAAACGACAGTGGTACCCCTTTCGTTTTTTTTTCGGGTCGAAATTTTGAGTTTCGATATCTCAGCTCTGGAAGGGTCTAGAGACTCAATTTTTGCACTCAGGTCTAAGTCTCATGGCCCTCTATCATAATCCAGAGTTTTGAGAAGATTGGAGAAACTTAATTTTTCGACCCCAAAAAAAAAACGACAGTGGTACCCCTTTCGTTTTTTTTTCGGGTCGAAATTTTGAGTTTCGATATCTCAGCTCTGGAAGGGTCTAGAGACTCAATTTTTGCACTCAGGTCTAAGTCTCATGGCCCTCTATCATAATCCAGAGTTTTGAGAAGATTGGAGAAACTTAATTTTTCGACCCCAAAAAAAAACGACAGTGGTACCCCTTTCGTTTTTTTTTCGGGTCGAAATTTTGAGTTTCGATATCTCAGCTCTGGAAGGGTCTAGAGACTCAATTTTTGCACTCAGGTCTAAGTCTCATGGCCCTCTATCATAATCCAGAGTTTTGAGAAGATTGGAGAAACTTAATTTTTCGACCCCAAAAAAAAAACGACAGTGGTACCCTTTCGTTTTTTTTTCGGGTCGAAATTTTGAGTTTCGATATCTCAGCTCTGGAAGGGTCTAGAGACTCAATTTTTGCACTCAGGTCTAAGTCTCATGGCCCTCTATCATAATCCAGAGTTTTGAGAAGATTGGAGAAACTTAATTTTTCGACCCCAAAAAAAAACGACAGTGGTACCCCTTTCGTTTTTTTTTCGGGTCGAAATTTTGAGTTTCGATATCTCAGCTCTGGAAGGGTCTAGAGACTCAATTTTTGCACTCAGGTCTAAGTCTCATGGCCCTCTATCATAATCCAGAGTTTTGAGAAGATTGGAGAAACTTAATTTTTCGACCCAAAAAAAAACGACAGTGGTACCCCTTTCGTTTTTTTTTCGGGTCGAAATTTTGAGTTTCGATATCTCAGCTCTGGAAGGGTCTAGAGACTCAATTTTTGCACTCAGGTCTAAGTCTCATGGCCCTCTATCATAATCCAGAGTTTTGAGAAGATTGGAGAAACTTAATTTTTCGACCCCCAAAAAAAACGACAGTGGTACCCCTTTCGTTTTTTTTTCGGGTCGAAATTTTGAGTTTCGATATCTCAGCTCAGGAAGGGTCTAGAGACTCAATTTTTGCACTCAGGTCTAAGTCTCATGGCCCTCTATCATAATCCAGAGTTTTGAGAAGATTGGAGAAACTTAATTTTTCGACCCCAAAAAAAACGACAGTGGTACCCCTTTCGTTTTTTTTTTCGGGTCGAAATTTTGAGTTTCGATATCTCAGCTCTGGAAGGGTCTAGAGACTCAATTTTTGCACTCAGGTCTAAGTCTCATGGCCCTCTATCATAATCCAGAGTTTTGAGAAGATTGGAGAAACTTAATTTTTCGACCCCAAAAAAAAAATGACAGTGGTACCCCTTTCGTTTTTTTTTTCGGGTCGAAATTGTGAGTTTTGATATCTCAGCTCTGGAAGGGTCTAGAGCCTCCATTTTTGCACTCAGGTCTAAGTCTCAGGGCCCTCTATCATAATCCAGAGTTTCAAGAGGATTGGAGAAACTTAAAATTTTCGACCCGAAAAAAAACGACAGTGTTTCGTTTTTTTTTTCGGGTCGAAATTTTGAGTTTCGATATCTCAGCTCTGGAAGGGTCTAGAGCCTCCATTTTTGCACTCAGGTCTAAGTCTCATGGCCCTCTATCATAATCCAGAGTTTTGAGAAGATTGGAGAAAATCAAAATTTTGACCCGAAAAAAAAAAAACGACAGTGGTACCCTATCGTTTTTTTTCGGGTCGAAATTTTGAGTTTTCGATATCTCAGCTCTGGAAGGTCTAGAGCCTCCATTTTTGCACTCAGGTCTAATTCTCAGGCCCTCTATCATAAGTTTCAAGAAGATCAGAGAAAGTCAAAATTTCGACTCCCCCCCCAAAAAAACGACAGTGTTACAACCCTGTCGTTTTTTTTTTTTGTTGGTTTTTTGGTGCAAAAAATAAGTTTCTCCAATCTTCTTGAAACTCTGGATTCTGATAGAGGCCATGGAAGGGTGAGCTTAAAAACCATGTGTCCAGAGTATTGCTTCAGATGGTTATTACAAACGAAAAGAAACTACATTAAATTATTGTCAACTGAATGTTCTTTGTGTGAGTTTAGTCCTGGTGGTTAGCTTTTATATACAGGCAGGCACATTCGTGGACTTTTTGTATTGAATAAAAATAAAGACCTTTTTAGGACTATTAAGATTAGCACTTAAGTTTAGAGTTCTCACTAATAACTAGTTGCTTATTTGGATGGATATTACTAGATATTGGCTGTTTATTAGTACTTATAAAGCACATATTAATGCTTTATTCTGTATGACCATATATCCTACTCAATACCTAAACTGAACAACCACCTTACTAATTGTTAATAAACGGTAATTAGGAGTTTTGAGGCAAAAGTCATAGTTAATAGTGAGAATTGTACCCTAATCTAAAGTGTCATACTTTATATTGCACCTTAACCCACCCTTAAACCTACCCATACCACCAAACTTAACCTAATAAATCAAACTAACCTCAACCTTACCCGTATCCCAGCTCAAAAGCAGTAAAAGTGTTTTGCTAATCAACATGAACAATTAAGTACACTGGACTTATTTTTTATGTTTAAGTATATAATAGTTAAATACACCTAAATAGATAGTGTAAAATTAAACTATATAAATGCTTTTGAAATTCCCTACAGTCAGAAGATTCCAGACATGCCTTCAGATGTAGTCGGAGCATTAATGTTTCTGGAGGACTATGTGCGTTACACTAAACTGCCCAGAAAGGTAGGAAATATTGCCATGATATGTTGTATTCATTTTCTTTAGACACAAATATTGCACATCAAAAATCACGAGTAATAGTTATATTGGTTTGCTCTCCTTTTCAGGTGGCAGAGGCTCATGTGCCGAGTTTCATTTTCGATGAATTCAGGACTGTGCTGTAAACATGCCTGTCATAATGTCAAATCATATTCGATATCATTCATCTATCTCTTAAAGCACTAATGAAATTGAGCAATTAGCATTTTTAACATTTCAATTTTTAAACATGGTGATCTTTTGTAGCTGACTGGATGTCTGTCTGCTGGTGTAATAAATGTCATATGTGTGTTTTGATACAACTTTTTAGCACACTTTCGAAGAATGAATCACTTTAACTCACAACCTCTGATGATTTATTGCTTTTATAAAATGATGGCAACATCAACCTCATATGATTTTCCTTTTTTGCGGATATCGTTGGTTTAACTCATCCTATCAGAATTTAGACTGTGAATTATTATTTCGAGGTACTAAAACTTAAGGGGTGTTACACTGTACCTTTTTTTTGTACACAACACAGGAGACAGGATTTGAATGAAAGTTTAACTTTTATCTTAAATATATTACAATACTGAATGGATACTGTATGAAAAAAAGAGCTTTTATCGTTTTAATTATCAGTCTATGTACAGCACACAATGAAAGAAAATTATAGCCATGAAGAATCTATGAATACCAACACTGCGTACACGGTCAGATGAACAGAAGTGAAACAACAGGGTGTGACAGCGGCTGACTTGATAAAGACCTTACAGCTGAAAAACAAAAGGGTTAATGCGGTCCTGGATTCCATTATGTGTGTGGTTGCTCTGTTTGTGTTTAATATGATTTGCCTTAAATACATTCATTGATATTTTGGTTGTGTCCTTCAATCAGGATCAATGCGCTGAGATGCCTGATGCATTGATTATGACAACTGGCACCAGACTGACGTTTAATTCCAGTACGAATGTGCATTTGTTCTGACAGGTCAGGGTCACAGTGAGCCGAGTATTGCTTCAGATGGTTATTACAAACGAAGAGAAACTACATTAAATTATTGTCAACTGAATGTTCTTTGTGTGAGTTGAGTCCTGGTGGTTAGCCAAACATTACATATAATGTAATTTTGCACGTAAACTGCAAATACAATCACACGGAAATAGGACAAGCGCCCCACGTTGTGTACAAAGACGACCTGAAATGAAATAAAAACTTTAATTTGCACAAAAACCTATCGCGGCATTAATCATTCTAAAGCACTTAATCGTCGTCGGGGGTTAAATATGTACATACTAATACTGGGGAGGAGGGAAAGACTTTACAAATTTACCTTAAAAATACTTCGTATGCATCATGGCGGTGTTACGGGACGTTATTCGTGGATTACAGGCAGAGTGCAAAAATCAGTGCCGACAGGTCGACCGCACAGCAGACTATGTACAGATGAAAACTGCCATTAATAATACAATACTGACCAGAAGTAGGCAATCGATCAAGACCGAGTGGTCACGTGACCAGAGAGAGTGTAGAAGAGTGTCATGCTGTAAACAAACATCTACCAAAGAATCTGAAAACTGATTATGGGTTCACAACAGCTATAGTTACATACATGTTATTTAGGGAGAATGAATCTCAACATTGATTACTCCCTAAATCTCATTAATTCATCAAAGGAAATATGTTTAGTCTTACATTCACACACCGCCAGGTTTTTTGTTGTTGATAATATTAGTTTTAGCCACTTGTGGAACCCATGACAGCCATTTATTTCATCTGTGGCTGTGTCCGAAATCTCCACTCAAACCACTACTCCCTACCTCCAGTAGAGCCCTATATAGGGAGCTCACAAGCATAATAGAAACACCACTTTCGGACACTACTCGATCGTCTCTCGGCGCTGTTGATTACGTCATTGCTGTCGCCCATCCGCCATTTCTACGATCAGCGCAATGCATGATGGTATGCAGGGCTTGGGTTAGTGACCATCGGTTGTACACTACTTTTCAAAATGCATTCTGGGATACATTGAGTGGACTATATAGGGTATTATAATCATCATCACATACATTCGGACAGCACTACAAAATGGCGAGCTCACTATATAGTCCACTATATAGTGAGCAGTGGGAGATTTCGGACACAGCATGTGATTCTGAATTAGACATTAATTCTGACGTTCGTTCTATCCACCTAATTTTTTTTCAACACGGAAATATTTAAGGATTTAATTGAAAATACAATTTTTTGTTGTTGTTAGAAATGAGCGAGACGACCGAATCATCATCGGGTAAACAAGAATAACTAAGTGTGCAGTTAACTGTAAAACTATTTGCACTGCAAACCGGGGTTTACGAGAATGAATTAAAAATAAAATGAGAACAAATACCAGTTTGCCATGTGAAGAAGAATAACGGACTACCAGTGAACAGGGAATGTTCTCTGTAACATTCAGAAATAATGTTTTCATAGCTTAATGGGAACATAAGCAAAACATTCGTAGAAACTTTTTTTTGTTAGCTGTGCTGTCTTTGTTGACAGTTGACACCGGATTCCTTGCACCAAGGCCATTTCTGCTTGCACATTCAAGTTTTAATTGTTCCTATTACATAAAAAATAAGGTGGATAGGTGATATATGCAAATCTGTTCCTGTCGTTTTTATGAATGCAGCATGTACCACAAAAAAGCCAAGTTCCCAAAACAATCAGCTAAAATCACATTCCTTACGCTTACGAGAGAATTAATATATAACATGGGAGGATGACAATGAGTGAATGAAAGAATTGGATTAGGTTGTGAAAATGAGGGAAAATAAACACATTTGAAACACCGACAGGGACAAACTAAGGCCTCTTGCTCGTTACAAAACAGAAGCGCATGGTCCACATTTAATTTTCTCTTGTGTTGTCAGGATAGCACTTGTGCAATTACATAAACTCACTGATTTCTAAATGTATGTTGTTGATCTTATTGTGAATGATTCCTCCATGCATGTTTCATTTTAAATAATTTTTGACTATGTAATGTTTAAAATGTCATAACTCGATCTTTGCCATACTTCTCTCTGCCAGACTTTCCCAATAATTTAGTCTGCTTAACTTAAACTCCGCCCCTATCTTAAAAAACTGAGTGCAAGTTTACATTCAGATCTGCCTCCATCCAATCAACAACCGAACCAAGCTCTCGCCCTACATTTTTCTTTTTATGCAATCTATTACGCTCGGATATACGTCAGAATGCGGAACAAAAGATCTGTCGCTATTTCTGTTTCATCACGACTTAAAAAATTTTCATAGCACCTTTAACAACCCCATCTAAAGTAGAAGTGCTCACGTCACAAGAGCGTTAGTGATTGCCACGTGGTGCTATGATCTGGGACGGATGCAGAAAACATGAAACAGCGCTTCTGTCTTGTAGCGTGCACTAGGCTTGGGATGGATTCTGTAAATTTAGAAAGACGATCACAGGACAGACACTCTAAAGCAGGAGAAAAGTTCTGCCACGCTCTCCACGATCAAACATTAAAACCGAAAAATACTACAATCTCACATTTCACTCTGAATTATATGACATATGTACAAATTTCTCTGAGAAAAGGTGACCATATGAACGGGGCCGGATGGTGTTCTGGTGATGCGGACATGGTGGGGGGGGGCGTTTCAAACGTGATTGAATCTTACCAGCCTACGGAGCTGTCCTTCGATACATGCGGCACCCTTGAGTGAAAGATCTAAAATCATTTGTACATTGTTACACTACAAGGAATCGATAAACATGTTTTCTCATGCATACAGCAGTAGGTTCTACAGTGGCAGCGTGCGTTCAAAACAATAGTTAACTTCCTGCTCCTGCATGAGCTTCTTGCACCCGGGCAATCACAAGACAGCATGTGTTTGGAGGCGGGGTTTAATGAGGGCACGAGTGGCTGCTGTTGTCTCAGTTGTTTGTCATTCTGGGTTTGTATCGTGATGAAATCATGTTCCTGAGTCCTGTTTGCGAATGACAGCAGGAATATGACCCTGATGCCGCACCCCTCAACATTTAGGGTAAGACGGCTCCATGCCACAAATACTGAAGAAGGAGACCACGCCCAATTCTTCCATTCACTAGTCCCTTGTTTCTCCATTTGAATTCCGTATTTTGTAACTGGTTTCATTTTCTCATTCATACAAAAGCAGAGGAAAATCCTTACGGAGGTTTTGCAGACCAGTTTCGAGGAGTTCTTTTATATTGACGTTTCCCACAGCTGAAACAAACAGACAAAAAACTAAATGAACACATGCTAGTAAATATGACTCATGTCATTTAAAGCTACACTGTGTAACTCTTTTAGTTTATTCTTAGCTAAAAACACTTATATATGTGCTCATTAATGTATATTTACTTCGTTCAAGTAATAAAGTATTCTCGTGAGTGTATAACGCCATTGAAAATACATACGGGTAAGGGTTTCTAATGTCGGTCGCCATGTTGTCCCCCCATCTTGAAAGTACATTAGCCAAAGAGGG